TGAACGGCACCTACATGACCGAGAGGTGCACATTACGGCCCTGGTCTTCGGCGAGACCACGTGCACTGAAGAACGGCTGTACGCGGGGGGCTCGCGTCAGCTATTTACGCCGCCGGGAACTCAACGGTATGTGCCGTACGCTCTCATTTTTGCATACATAAACTTCTCCGCACACACAAGGTGGTGGGGCAAAAGAGGGGCGCAACCCTCTCGCGACTCCACGTCTACCTACGAGCGGGGTTCTCACAGGCACAGCACTCGCCACAGGCACGGCACAGGAACTTCGACACTGACAAACGACACAAGTACACCGGTCCGCAAGAGGCACTACACCACCAACGCGCCTCTGTGCTGGCGCGGAGAATACACTACAGAGAGGGGGAACCGTTTCGTAGTACTCTACGAGTATCGCGACGTAGTACTGAAGCGTGGGTGGACGCGCGCGGCGCGTCGCCTGACGCCGCGGTTTCTGGGCTGTGCCGGGTCTATGGCTGCCTCTCGCTCTTCGCGGAGAGGGGGGGCGGGGCTCATGACATCGTGTTTTGCGGCTTCTTTGCCTCGGGGCCCCACTCTGGAACCTTGAGGCCGGTTGTGACCGAGATCCGTTCCTCGACGTGCCTATTCGCATGCGCGGTCTCAGAGCAGCTTCTGGTGAGACGGTGGGGCGGTGCGGTGCGCCCAAACACGTGCGCGATGGCGTAGTTGGCGACCGCCTGTTTGTTGTAGTACTGCGCGTTGAACCACGACAGGCTGGCGACGAGGAGGATGACGGCGGGTGGGACGGTGGAGCGCTCGTACAGCCAGGCCATCCACATGATCGCGACCTCGTACGTGATGCCAGGGTTGCGGAGCCACACGTTGATCGCAGCGCACATTCGCTTTTGCAGCATCACGTCGATCTGCTTGTGCTTGACCAGCGTGAGCATGAGGTAATCGACACCGCCCGGAAGCCCGCTGATGAAGAAGCATAGAAAGTTGCGCAGCGCACCCCACTCATAGGTCTGGCCGAGGAAGCCAACAGTCGGGATGAACATGAGATGGTGGAAGTAGTCCGCGGAGGTGAGGTTGCGGAAGGCGAGCATGTGGTAGACGTGGACCGCGTTTACGATGTAGATCGGCCACGGCGAGGCGGAGCCAAATACGCTGCGATCGTGGTAGATGCGCGAGTCCATCGCGTTGAAGGGGTCCTTCATCACAACCAGCACCGACTTGATCGAAGTGGCCACCACCAGCAGATTGGCGAAGGAGTGCACAGAGAACCAACGCGCCTGCCGGGCGACACGGCCAAGTAAGAGAGAGGCTGGCGGCAGTTAGCCTTCCTTATCGGCGCACTTTGCTAGAGGAGCTCGCGGCATCAAAGATGGCGATGAGGAGGAGGGAAATGATGTTGCCCGCCTGCGTGTGAAGACAGTCAGAGGGGGCGCGTGTTGGAAATGTGCCGCCCGCAGTCTTTGCGGGGCTTTGCGCGTGTATTCAGCGTTGCAAGAGCGATTATCAGGCATCTAATTTCCCAGCGAAGGGCAGCTCCATCGGATTCATGCCTCGGCTCCGCCGCCAGCACCAAATTAGCTCACCGGTGAGGGAACCTTGATGCGAATTTCAGCGTGGGGTGCCGCCTGTGACAGGGCCGAAAGAGAGGCGGTGAGCGTGGGGTCGGCTACCGGGGGAGCACGCGCCCGCCAGCGGGTTGCTGCGAGAGCCCGGAGGCGCGGCAATCACCGGGCGCGGCAAAAACTTCTGGAGCCCACAAAGTAAAACATCACGGTTCCGTTATGCAGGCACATGCAGCAGCTCAGTGCCACGGCACTTACCACGTGCAAGCAGCGAGGCGCGGATCAACGGTCTCCGCCCCTCCTCGACCTCGATCCTGAGCTGCCCCAGCGGTGTAACGAGAATTACAGGCTCTCACCGCCGCATTACCCTCCAACACGCAAGCGTGCTGCGACATCAATGCCAACACGGATCATGCGTTTTTTTCAACTGTGCAGGTGTATGATCGTCGAGGAGTCAGCTAGGGCGCACCGAGGCGGAGCCGACCGTCTCGTTCGCCACAATGCCCGGGAGAGGATCATAGAGGGCGACCGAGTGCGCGAGGGAACGGCGCAGCTACGCCGGCCGCATGCCTTCATTCTGACGCTGGACCCGTCGAGCCCACGAGCGATTCATTCATTCGAATTGCTCGACGGTCTCGGCTTCAAGGCGGTGCTCGTGCCGGGACACGCCGCGCTGTCCAACGACAGCCCCACGCGCCGCTGGTCTAACGTGTTTGGCGTTTGGAAGCTGCTCAGCACCTTTGCGCGCTCTCCCACCGCCGGCGACTGGAGCTAAAGTCTCTACCCGAGATCTTCCGGTCCCCTCCCAATGCATGTGTTTCACGCCTAGGCGAATGGGGCTACTTCTTTGAAGATGACATCGGCCTGGCGGCCGCCGGGACACGCGCGCGCGACGTGGCGGCGGTTGCTGCCAACGAGAGCGCCCACGGCCTCTGCATTTTGCGGCGTTGCACGCGGATGGCCTCAACTTTGCACACGCACCGCTCTGAGTAGGCGAGGGGCTCATGGTGTACCTGGGGCTGTGTCTCAATCTCAAGGTGCAGACCGGGCCACTGCTCAGGCGGCCGAAGTTAAGGCCGGGAAAACCACCCAGACCATGACTCCTCTGGACGCGTTGTGGGCCTCTCACACAGACAGCGAGGCGACACGGTGTCGAATGCACCGCCGCAGGACGGGGCGTGGCTGCGCGTCGTGCGCCCACGCCATGGCCATCTCTCGGGCTGGCGTTCGCTCTCTCTTCGCCTTCCAAAAGGCGACGATCTCAGCCAGACCTTAGCAAGATCGCCCGCAAACACAGCTGCATGTTTGTGCACATGCGCATGTCATGTGCATCTCGGCCGGCAACATCTCGGCTTGGTTCCGATGCCTCGGGGCATGCCCGACACAATGCCCAGGCAAACCGCTCTTGGGACCCGATGTCCGACCAGATCATCAAGCACTGGTGCCGCCTCCACCGGGGCTTCGCCGTCTTCCGCCCCGACGGCCTCGGCCAGTCGTGGCACTACCGAGGCCGAGGCCCCTCCTTCCACACGCGCGTTGCGCGGTGCCTTCACGCTTGCGGCTGCTGCCAGGTGCATTCTTCCAGGACCATCGCCGCTTCAACTCGACCATCAACGGGCTGGACGACTCGCCAATCGCGTGCAGCGAGGCGCGGCGCTCGTCGGCTACTCGTGCGGAGATAAACGCACAGACTGACAGCCGAGGAGACCGGTACCGCAGCACCGACGCGCCCTCGCGGACTGGGTCCCAGAACAAACATTAGAACAAACGCTTTTGATCACTCGTTGACGCCGTCCCCCAGGGGTGTTCATTGATGCGCACACCGTCACCGATCCACGAACGACGAAAAGCGCGAGAGGAGATCCGAGAAGCCGAACTCCCGCGCCGTGAATACAGAATTGACAGAATTGTGTATTGTCATGAAAAAGGGGCTTCGTATTTTCTTCCGCGCGGTCACACTATGACACGATCTCCGATCGTACACATGACACCATGCCAGATCCTTTCTCTCGTGCCGGCGCGTCTCCACACCAAGACACATTTGACACACGTCACAACGCCTTTGCGTCCCTCGTGCCGCTCTTGCCGACGACCCCGAGCGCCTTGAGGAGCCCGCGGAGCAGCTTGTACCCCCAGAACCACTGCAGCAGGTAGCCGCCGGCGAAGGCGAAGTACATGATCGCCGCGTTCGGCGCGTCGAGCTCCGCCACCTGCTCCGAGGCGCGCTGCGAGAGGGCCCACCCGAACAGAAGGATGCGCAGCGCCTGATGGGCCGTTAGGACGCGTTCGATTCACGGGCTGTGGAGAGGGCCCACATGAGGAGGAGGAGTGCGGCGCCAGCCAGCCGAGCACCAGCACGACCCCGTTCGCCTAGTGCACGCGTGTGGCGACCTCGGATCAGCTTCTGGGCCGCATCTCGGCCGCGTGTCGAGGGCGCCTTGTAAGCGAGCGTGCCGCTCCAGCCGGCCTTTGCAAGAACCATCTCTGGTTCACAAAGGGAGTGGTCGCCTCGAGCAGCCAGCCGCACAGGGCGTGGAAGTGGCAGAACCCGCCCGTGAGCACCCGCCAGTACGCAACCATGCCGATGACGTGGTGCACTGTGGTCGCCTCGACGCCGCTCCACTCGCGCCACCAGTACGCGTTGCCGAGCTGCGACAAAGTAGCCCAGAAAGAAGCCTCCCCAGCTCTCGAGCTCCGGCACAGACGCATGGAGGTCGTCTGCCAGCGCAGTCAGTCCCGGCTCCGTGACAAAGACCTACGGTAGAGAATGCGCTTGATGAGTAGGCGCCGCGAGAGTTGGCCACGGCTCTGCCGCAGGTGCCTGGATGGCGACGGCGGCGACGGCAACAGCGTTGACGGTGGAGACCATGCTCGCAGCCCAGTACGCCTTGTCCGAAGGTGAGCAGCGGCGGAAGGTAGGAGACGCGTAGTGTGAGAGAGTGCGGCAGACGAAATGGAGAACGAGGAAGCCGGCGGTGTAGGCGATGGTCTCGCGAGCGAGCTCGGAGTGCAGACGAGGCATGTCGGGCTCGCTCGCTCGCTCGGCGGGGAGGATTTCTTTTGTAGCGGTTTTTCTTTGCCTCGGTGTGGGCACATGAAGTCGAAGTCGCTTCTCGTCGCCGTTGCCCTCGCCGCGCGCTGCGAGGCCTTCGCCGGCCCGCGCCCGCCGCTTCGCACGAGCCACGCGCGCGGCGACGCGCAGCCGCACTCCTCCTCGCCCGCGCGCTTGCGCGGTGGCGGCGGCGGCGGCGCTGCTGCTGCGCTTGCGCTCGACGTCAACCCGGTGATCCTCCGGCTGACGCGCGACTCGATGGCCGAGCTTCTGACGAGCTGCGCGATCGGCTATGGCGCCACCAAGGCGGGATACCTCTCCGGCTCTCAGATACGATCACTGGCCGGAGTCGTCTTCAACGTCTTTCTCCCGGCGATGCTGCTCACGTCTGTCGCGTCGACCGTCGCCGAGCAGCAGGCGGGCGCGGCGCTGGCGGTGATGCCGATCGCCGCGTGGGCTCAGGTGGCCGTCGGCGCGTCCGTCGCTTCGGTGTCGCTGCAGCCCGCCGTAGCGAGCCATGCCTGCCACAAGCAGCGGAGCACCGGGAGAGAGCTCATCTGCTGATCAGGTCTCGCTGGCGCTGCTGCGGCTGCCGCGCCGCTCGTCGGCGGGCAGAGGCGTCTCCGTCCTCTCCTCATTTGGCAACGCAGGCGTGCTTTCGCCCCTCCTCTCGTCTCGCCGCTACATTCTCGCCGCTACATATATCGCCGCTGCATATGGCTCTACTGCGCACGCAACAGATTCTCTCTTAGCGCACGTGTCCCCTACCGTCACGTGTCCCCTGCCGTCATGCATTGGAGAGCACGTGCTACCACACTCGGGGGCTGGCCCGTGTGTGCCGCACCTTCGATCTGTGGCGCTAGGCGTGCTCCCCCTCCTCTTCGTCTCGTCGCTCTTCCGAGGGGCGGCGCAGGAGGCGAGTCGCACCTTTTAGGAGTCTAGGAGCCTTCTAGAACGGCCCGCGAGGAGAGACCACACGGCAGCGTGGCGGACGAACCCCGCGCTCGTGGCGCTGGGAACTACGTGACAGGAATCACAGTGTGTGAGCGTGATGCAACGACCAGGCCACCCGTCGCCGGGCAACATCTCTCGTCGCCATGTTCCTCCTCGGATGGTCTCCTCTCTTCTGGACTCTCGGCTACGCCCTTCTCACCGGCCACGCCGCCCTCTCCCCCGCCGCCGCCGCCGCCGCCGCCGCCGAGCCCGCCGCCACTGCCACCGCCGCCGCCCTCTCCCCCGCCACCTCCGCCACCGCCGCCACCGCCGCCACCGCCGCCCTCCCCGTCGGCGCCGCGAGGGCGGCGCGGCTGCGGCAGCTACGCGCGAGCCTACGCCGCGCTCTGAGCCCTCCGATAGCCGCGTGTCTGGCCGGGCTAGTCGTCGGGTCGGCGCCGCCGCTCCGCGCCGCGCTGCTGCCTGCCGCTGCGCCGTCTGCGCCGTCGCTGCAGAGCTGGCTTCCCCTCTTCCGCTGCCTCGAGGCCCTCGGCAAAGCATACTCGCCGGCAGCGCTGCTGGCGCTCGCCGGATCGCTCGCCGCGTCTGCCGACCACTAGGAGCCTTCTAGGAGCCTTCTTGGAACCTTCCTAAAGGTGCTCGCCGGATCGCTCGCCGCGCCTACCGAGCAGCGGAGGGCGGGGGAGGGGGAGCTCGGCGCGTCGGCGTCGCACGTGGTGGCGATCGCGGTTGCGCGCTTCTGCGCTGTGCCGCTGCTCTCCTTCGCCCTGCTGCATGCGAGATGTAGCCGAGATGCGGGGGAGACGTAGCCGAGATAGTGTCGCTGCTCTGCGCCGGCCTGTTGCAGGTGCTTTGGTAGAGGGGTCTCTCTGAACACTGGACCGCTGCTGTTCTCCGCCCTGTTTCAGGCCGCGCTGCGAGCAGGGCTCCTCCCCGCCGACCCTCTGCGCGATTTGGTGCTGCTGCTGCAGTCCTGCATGCCGTCGGCGCAGAACTCTGTCTTGGCGCTGCAGGCGGAGGGCTTCCCTCGGCCAGATCTCGGCTGGATCTCGGCTGGCTCTTGGCTGGATCTCGGCTAGCTCTCGGCAGACCTCTGTGCTGGCGCTGCAGGTGGACGGCAGCCCCGAGCGCGCAGCGAGGATGGCGCGAGTGCTGCTGGCGATCTACCTGATCGCCGCGCTGCCGGTCGCCGGCATCCTTTCCCTCCTCCTGCAGCGGTACTCGGCGGTAGGAGGGGTTGGACTAGCGACGCTCGGGCTGTGACGCGAGGGCGGGGCGGAGAACATGCCGAGTTGCGAGTCCGACGCACCGGCCGTCGGCCATGGCGGCGTGCGGGGTGTGGCGGAGGAGTTCGGTCGTCTCGGACGGCGTTTGCGCGCCACGTGTCCTCACCCACACCGCCACACGCACACGCCACACCGCTCGGCAGCCGACACACAGCCGACACAGCGACAGGCATACTCGTGCAACAACCCGGCTGGGGGCCGCTCTGCAGCTGGTAGGATTAGGCCGGGGCGCTTTTCACGGAACACGCGCGATTTTACGCATTACGGAATTACGCAATACGCGTTGCACCGCGAGGGGGAGGTGGGGCGGCTGGGGGCTGGCGGCCGGGGCACACATAGAGGGGAGGGGAGACGCGCATGCCGCATCTACGAATCAAGTTGGCGCCGGCATACTCGATACTGGAATGGCGAATGTGCTGGGACCCGCTGGGTGTCCTGCAACCTCGGGCTCAGCGGTAACAACACTCAAAAGCCGTTGGTACCCGTAGACGGGCTGCGTGGACTTGACCGCGCCCCACCCACTAGTGCAGCCATGCCCGTCCCTGCGGCCCTTCTCTCCCGGTCTTCCCTCACCGCCCCTCGCTCACTCGCACGCGCGCCTCTCCCGCCTCTCTCCCGCCCTGCGTCACCGCGGACCACAGCGAAGCGAAGCTGGCGGAGCCTCAGCACACCGCCGACCCCCTCATATCCCCCCTCCCCTCCCCGTCCTCCTCCCGACGCCTCCGCCCCTCGCTACGAGGAGGCCGCGAGGCAGGCGGCACGACAACGCGGCCCGAGGCCAGCTGGGGCCGGGCCTGCAGGAAGGAGGACAGGCGTACCGCCAACGTCACGACGCGGAGATTGGGAGAGATCAGGCGCCGAAGTCGGGGGAAGCGACGGGGGGCAGCTGGAGCAGCTTGCGCGCGTCGGCGGAGCCGTGCGCCTAGCGAGTCAACCAGTCTCAATCCAACGCTTGTGAGGGTGTGCGCGTCGGCAGAGCCGTGCGCCGTGGGCGGGGGAGGCGCGGCGTAGATGTCGGGGGCGCCTGGGGAGGATGGATGTGGATTGAGAGACAGGAACCCTCGCTGCCCGCTCCCTCCCCGAGATGCAATCTCGAGATACAATCTCGCACCTCGCTTGCGCAGCTCCTCTCGCCACTGCGCCGCGTCGAGCTGCCGCGCCTGAGTACGGCGAGACGCGATGAGAACCCCTCCCCCCCTGCGCCATCCGCCTCCAGGCTGCCCATCCTGCTGCTCGCGCTCGAACTGCCACGAGCACTTTAGTCTCGGCTGCCGCCCGACCGCTTGCTGCGCGGCTGCGCCTCCGGAGGCAGGCGACGGAAGCAGAGGGTCTGAGGGCGGCACCTATTCACAGCGGTAGGCATGAAGAGGCGCTGCTCACAGGCGACGGCGGCAGGGGGGCGGAGGCACCTCCCATGCCGTGGCGCGGGAGGCTGTGTTGACGTAGAACACACGACCCATGACATCGACACTCCGCAGCCACCCTGCCGGAGGGACGGGCGGGTCGGCGGCCTGCGCGTTGAAGCGCCCCCGCGGCGCCGTCGCCCGCGCGAGGATCTGCCGGAGCCCGCCCGCCCGCTTTGCTGCCGCCTCCTCGGGATCGGTGGCACGGCCAGAGTCGGTCGCACGAGGAGGAGCGGCGGGAGCGGGCGTGGCGGCGGCGGTGGCGGACAGGGCGCCTCGCGCGCACACCGCCGCGCGCCTCACCCGCTGCAGCCAGCCGGCGCCGGTGTGCTGGCGCAGCTTGCTCGTGTACTGCTGCTCGAGACCCGAGTGGCGGAGGAGGCCGGCGCGGGCGGCGTGGCCGGAGTGCGCCGGTGCGGGCGTGAAGGCTGCCGTCGAGCAGAGGACGACGGCGGTGGCAAAGAAGATCGTGAGCCTAGCTTGAGCCATTTCGGGGGCGCACCGCCTCGCAGCACAGACACACGAAGTCGGTTTGAAAAACTCAGCGTGTGAAGTTACAAACACGGACTAGCTAAGAGTTCATAAACACCCCTGGTTCACTATTTAAGATTATTTAACAGGATCGCCCGCTCCCGCGTGAAGTTCAATTGAACACCCGTTTATTTGAACTGATAAACCTCGTTCATAAACTCAATAAACAGGTCCCTGTTCTCGCGTCCCTCATCGATCGATCGCTCGTCCCTGTTCGTGCATTCCCTCTTGTTCTTTTAGGAGGGACGGACGCTTGCGGTCTTGTATGGGGGGACCCTGGGGGGACGAAACCTGAGTTATATTCCCTCGGGCCGCGGCTGCCCTATAGCAAGGCCCGAGAGGAGGTCATGATATCCAAGCAGATCATCCGCTGCCGGCCGCGCGAGCCCGGCAGCACGAAGACGCTGCATCAGAATGGGAAGGGTGTCCCTATTGCCGTGAATGCAGAGCCTTAATTTTGGCATTGAGATTTGAAATCGGAATCGCGAGAATCGCGAATGGCAGACGCGCCCACGTTCGGATCGATTCTCATCGCAAACCCCTGTCAGCAGCTCACCCTCGCGTATGTTCGTAAGAGCTACATGTACATACACTGAAATCAGTCTCTCGCGCATGAAAGTTCTTGAAACGACGGGGGAGTGTAATTGTAAAAGTCTTGAAACGACCGAGAGTGGGGGGTTTGAGACGGAAGCTTCTTTTCTGTTTTTGTTGGAGTCGTAGCACATCGCAGAGCTTCCGCCGGCCACGTTGCCTCTCCACAGTGTAGTTTTGTATCAAGGGGGAAAGGGAATCTAGTTTGACAGGAGCGGGCCCTGAAGAGAAAAACAAACTGTTTCGACAAAACGGCGGGAACGTGCCGCGCCCAAAAACACGATGCTCCCCAACGCGCAGCTCCTGCTACTGTCCTACAGCGGACATAGTGGGCCGCGGACATAATGACCTGCCCTGTTCACGCGCGCGCGAGACGTGCAGACAGGGTTGCCAGGTGAGAGCGAATGGCGCGGTTCATTCACGCCTCGCACAACAGAGAGAGAGATCTGCATGGTGGGACATAAAAGAGTGGGGAACAAAGAATTTTTACAAGCCTCTCTCACAGCACACTGGCACGACAAGGGCGCGGAGACACACACACACACACACACACACACACACACACACACACACACACACACACACACACACACACACACACACACACACACACACACACACACAACCACCACCACCACACTTTCGAGGGAACAAAGAAAGTTGCGCGTGAGATACACAGATGCGGCCTCCAAAGATCGAGTGCACGCTGCGCAGGCTGCCCCACTTCCCGTGGCACGGAGGACGGCTCGTGGTCCTGGAGATCCTCTGTGCCGAGTACTTCGTTTACGGCCAGACGACGTGCGTCGCGATCAACCCGGACGGGACAGAGGCCAAGCTCGACGCGTTCCGCTCGCTCGTCGGCAGGTCGTGGGGATCCTACACCGCCGCTGTGCTTGAGGTGCGCCGCTGCGCTGCGCGCGGCCCCGGCCCGCCCGCCCACCCGCTCCACTGCAGTGCCGAACCGCTCGCCGCCCGAAACGCTCTCCTCCTGGCAGATTCACAGCACGATTTGCGGCTGGCAGTCCGGCGTGCGAGAGTACGAGCTGTTCGAGACCTACGTGGTGCCCGACGAGCCGCTGGAGGGGAAGCCCTTCCCGAGGACGGGCTCGCGTCGGTGCACGTTGGCACGGGGGAACGAGAGCTTCGACGTGTTCTACTCGCCGGAGGTCGCCATGCTGCCCGTCTCGATGCTCGCCTCGGACACGTGCCCGGTTACAAACCGGCCTCGCTCGGACGGCAAGTGGATCAAGGTCGGCGAATGCCGGCCGATCGTGCCGACGTGCCTCAGCAACGAGGAGGCCAGAATGGGCCTCCAAAAGGCCATGCCCAACGTGCGCCGCCCGATCTCCCCCCCCCCCCCCCCGCGCCTATCGCACCTCCGCTCCCCTCTCGACTCGGCAGGGACAGTACCACCCCCCGTACCACCAGCCAAGCAGGGGCAAGGCGCGCGCGCGCGGCGCGGACAACCAAGGGCAGATGGCGCCAAAGAGGCCGCGCGGGGGAGACGTGGAGAGGCCGGAGCACTCGTGCCCGACGAGCAGGCCGTTCCCGGGCCTCATCGCCTGGGTCTCGGAGGCGCCGCACCTCAAACGGCCGAATAAGCCCCACAAGGTGAACGGCACGCTCTTCCGGAAGCCGCCCTCACTCGACCCGCCCGCCCACCCGTGGCACCGCTACCCGGTCATCGTGACCGAGGTCGTTCACCACGTGCCGCCCGTCTTTGGCGCGAGCGGCACGTACGCGGTCGTCGAGGCGGTGCTGCCGGGCGGGCCGACGTGGACGGTGCACAAGTCGCAGCTGCTCAAGTTTGTCACGCTGGTGCACCGGCGGTGGGCGGCGCGCGCGGACACGCCCGACTTTTGCGCGAGCGTCGGCATGGCGGCTCAGATGGACGCGCTGCGCCAGGGCATCCCTCTCCCACTCCAGCTGCGGCGGCTCTTCCCTACGGCGACCTCTGCTGATGCGCCCATCGAGCTGTGTGCGTGGCTCTGCGTGTCCCCCGGCGAGTTCGACGAGATCGTGACGGAAGTGCCGCAGCGAGACGCCGCCGCCGCCGCGTCGTCGCGGCCGCTCGACAAGACGAAGCTCGACGATGGCTACATCTCCCCTACTGGACGCAAGCCCGCCGCACTGGTGAATCCGCCGTTGCCTAACCGGAATTTGAGTATGGGCAAGTGGATTCCGCGCGGGCCATACCCCTCTTACTTGCCTGTTTTGATGAGGGTGCGCCCCCCGACCGTCAAGTACACGACGGCCGCGGCGTTGCGCGCTTTGGCGGATGAGGCGCGGCGGTACAGGCTGAGCGCCGCGCTCGCTTATGCGTGCGAGCACAGGCCAGGGGAGGAGGAGGTCAGGCGGCTCCTCAAGGACGGAGCCTCGCTAGGGGTCAAGTCGCCGGAGGGCGAGCCTTGCCTTTGGATCGCGTGCAGACGGTGCGCGACGGGGTGTGTCAAGGCGCTTCTCGAGGCAGGGGCGGACGCGACGACGCCTTACAAAGGTGAGTCGCTGCTCGAGATGATGAGGTCGGAGGATCGCGACTGTGCGGCTGCGAAGGCCGTCATTGGCCTGCTCGAGGCGCATCTTGCCGCTTCGCACCCGGTCGTGGGTTTGCCGGGGAATCCGCAGCCCTGCCAAGGCTAGCCCAAGTAAATAAATACTAGAGGTGGGTAAAAGGGAACAGGTCCCCGCCCTTGCGATCCTTGTGCAGGGTTCTTTGTGGGTGTGGTCGGCGACTAGCCGGGGTCGTCCTCTCCCGATGGGGAACTAGCACTTTTAGCCGTCTTCCACAATCATGGATGGTCCCTCGGGTCCTGACTCGTGAGCTGCTCCTAATCTCACGTCTCAAGCTTTTGGCTGATCTCGACTGATCTCGACTGATTTCGGCTGGCGGCTCTCGACTGACGACTGACCGATCGCGGTGTCGGGTCAGCGAGCGGATCAAGTGGGCACTCGTCGCTTTCCAGAACGACAAACCACACCTCTACGACGCACACGACTCTGTCTGGGATCCTGCTAGATACCTGCTGATACCTCACTCCGGCTCTCCCTCCGGCACACTGGCGAAGGAATGGAAAGTCCTTGCTTCCTCTCCCTCCAGAGAACCCTACGCCACGGTGATGCCATGAAAAGATCGTGCGGTCGTCAACGGCGCAGCCGCCTCCCACGCGTTCGTCGCGGGGTCGTATCGCTCAAGCGAGCTGAGGGCCTCGTCCTCGTCGTACCCGCCCACAGCGTATAGCTTGCCATCGAGCGCCGCAGCTCCGAGGATTGCGCGAGCCTCCGCCATCGGCGCCACCGCCTCCCACGCGTTCGTCGCCGGGTCGTACCGCTCGACCGAGCTGAGGAGGCCGTAGTTCTGGCCTCCCACAGCGTACAGCTTGCCGTCGAGCACCGCCACGGCGTGAGAGTTCCGCGCCGCCGCCATCGGCGCCACCTCCTCCCACGCGTTCTCTGTCGGGTCGTACCGCTCCACCGAGCTGAGGTAGCCTTCGTCGTTGTTGTAGCCTCCGACAGCATAGAGCTTGCCGTCCAGCACCGCCATGCCGACAACAGCTCGCCCTGCCGCCATCGGCGCCACCGCCTCCCACGCGTTTGGCGCGGGGTCGTACCGCTCGACTGAGCTGAGGGTGCCGCCGTCGCCGCCGTACCCGCCCACAGCGTACAGCTTGCCGTCGAGCACCGCTACGCCGTGAGAGTGCCGCGCTGCCGCCATCGGCGCCACCGCTTCCCACGTGTTCGTCGCGGGAACGTACCGCTCCACCGAGGTGAGCCTGTCGTCGTCGTACCCGCCAACAGCGTACAGCTTGCCGTCGAGTGCCGCCATGCGGGCTTCCCCTCGTGCCGTCAGCATCGGCGCCACAGCCTCCTCCGCCCACTCGTTTGTGGACGCGTCGTACCGCTCCAGCGAGTTGACAGTCTCACCCTCGCTGCCGTGGCCGCCGAACACGAGCAGGCGCGGCCTCTCGCGCTTCTTCAGCGTCTCCTTCCAGCCGCGGCGCCACGCGCGGCACGTCTTCTTGACGGCGTGCTCCGTGGTCGGCAGCTGGGCGAGGATGTGCGGGGCGAGGTCCGGCGAGAGGAGGACCTCGGAGAGGATCCACTCGTGCTGCTCCACGAGCCGAGCGGCGTGCTCCTCCGCCACGCGTAGCGCGGCGTCGCTCGCGCCCGCCTGCGCCTCGATGATGGCGCACAGCTGCGAGCGTGAGGGGCCCTGCTCCTTGATGATTGCGAGGAGCAGCTCCGCCGAGAGGCCCGCGAGGCGGGCGCCGATGCGGTGGGAGGCCATAGCGCGGCGTCGCTCGCGCCATAGCGCGGCGTCGCTCGCGCCCGCCTGCGCCTCGATGATGGCGCACAGCTGCGAGCGTGAGGGGCCCTGCTCCTTGATGATTGCGAGGAGCAGCTCCGGCGAGAGGCCCGCGAGGCGGGCGCCGATGCGGTGGGAGGCCATCAAAAACAAAAAATTGCCAAACAGTCATTCATTCCTGAGCTGGTCCTGGGCGTGAGGTTGATAACCGCACTCCAAGTGCTCCATTCCCGGAGTCGAGGATGCCGTCGTTGTCGCTATAGACCTTGCCGCCTGCTCAAGCCACAAGCGCGCGTGTTTTTCTTTCAAGAAGAACAGATTTTAAAGCCGAGAGTCTTCAGCTGGAGTCTTGGGAATCGGGGGAGCGGAGTCGGAGGGTTCGGCAGGTCACTGGCGGCTGTCGCCTATATGCCGCCGAAAAAACGCCGGTGTCGAATTTCTTACCGGCAACTCCGGGAGACCCTTCATCACCCCGCATCGGTGCTTGCGACACGAGGCCAGCGAGCTCGCAGATCCCATGCCGAAGAACCCGGCCTCAAACGGAGCTATGGACGTACTAGGGTGCCCATAGGACCCAAAAGAAAAATAGCTTTCCGGCTCAAAAAGGGACGCACGAGGCAAATCTGATGTTGGATTGTTCCAATAGGCAATAGGAGAGAGGCCTCTTCCGTTGGGGGACCGAGTGACTAGGAAACAAGGGTTTCCCATTGTAAATGTGCCCAGGGCCAGCCCGTGGACCGATATGGATACCCACGGGACCGCTGCGGCGGGCCTGGGAGGCGCGCCACGAGACCAGAGAGGATACAAAATCTCTCTCTCTCAGATCGGATATGATGTATAAGATTCCCTCTTGGGCGGAGCTGCGACTCACCTCTCACGCACCATGCTCTGCTCTGCTAATATCATAACAATAATAATTATGACGGGCTCGCCCTGGATAGAGCTGCTCAGATCTCCCTCACGGTGCTCACGGATTGGACCATTCCCCGCTGAGATTGAAAAACTCTCTCTGAGATTGGAAGTCTGACGACTGCTTCTGAGAGAGAGATTTTCGGAAACCAACAAGAAATCATGACGCTCACATCTGCTTCTGTGGTGAGGACGACGGCTTCTATCCACTATTGTCTGCGCCTTGTCTGTCGTGTAAATCGTGCGTGCGAGACCGGCTTTTGTTCTGAAATTCTCAATTACCCGCCTCGCAGTCGAGGGCGTTCGGTTTTCTCTATTCTTTACAAGGACGGGCAGCCGAAGGGCCCCGACCGGACGTCTCGCCGCGTGTCACATTCTCCTCTTGTGACATTCTCGCCTCGGCGGTCGTATGTCCAAACGTCCCGAATGCCGTATCATCCAGTGTTCAAGCACTGCACCGCCGACCGTGAGCGGTGCTTATCAGATGAGGTGACATCTCGTGTCTCGGCTCGCGCCCTACAGGGGGTGCGCAGCGTGCACGCGGCGGTGGGGTCGGCCCGCTTGTCAACCATGTGTGTGTGTGTCCTTTTGCCTGCTCGCGGGCCTTCTGGTGTTGGAGACGACGTGGGCGCCGGCACGGCCATCATTGCCCGACCATTCCGGAGGCTTGGACAAGGAGTTGATTGCATTCGTTGCGGTGGTCTGCAACTGTACCTGTCCGTTGCTCTGTGGCCGGCGGCTGCTCTGCAGTGCGAGCTACGGCCACACGACCACCGAAAGCTCGGCATTTATGTGTGGGACAACCCTGCCGAGACACTTCCGAAAGACACAGCAGAGAGACACAGAGCAGAGACGCCCTCTGAGAGACACTGCAAAGACACCTTCTTTCTGTCACTCCTGACTGTGGCAGCATGCTCACAGGCTGACGAACACAGCATGGTGCTGGTTGGCTGCTATTCCTCGCACCAGGACCGGGTCCCGGGCCACACACACTCCCACCTCGGCTGCCTGTTTATATAACGAGATTAGCTGAGATTAGTCGCGATCACCCAGATGAGCTGAGAGAGATCACAGATACCAGCCACTCGCGCCCTCCGTGCAACCTAATTGATTTAATCATGCTTCTGCCACACTCTGAAATTGATATGCCTGTCGATATACCACTGGCTGTGTGATACAGGTCTACCGGCCTTGCTTGTGGGCCAGCCCTGCCTGAGATTACCAAAACCACACCTGAGTGCTGTCGGTGCTCTCTGAGCCTCACATGCCTGCCTGCTCTGACCGCCGCTGGCGAGTGTGTGTCTTTCGTGTTCGGGCGAGAACACCGACTGCGGACCGAGGAGAATGATCGGCGCAGAGTGTGTGTGCTTCCAAGTGCCGTCGGGGCGTGATATCTGATATTGGGAGAGAGCACTTTTGTGACGAGGCATGGTAAGGCAGGTGGCGGTCGCTGGTGCTGCCTGCTGACTTGCCAACACTCTGTAACAGTTTTTGGTGGTGTGTCGGTCTCCCAAAAAAATAGCGGGGTTTTGACGCGCACCTAAGGAAGACACATGAATAGTGTGAGGCAGATTATTCATGAAGAAGCCAATTGTTTGTGGCCGATTATTTGTGATTGGACATGGCGGTGGGGACCCCAACTTCATGATGGCCGCGGCTCAGTAGAGCGCTACCAGTGGGGTGTGTGACGGTGGGCGTGTTGGTGTGAAGGGCCAGAGGATCAAGCAGTGTGTCATTCTCGGCTAGATATTGCCTGAGCAGGAGACGCCAAGCTGGGCCTAGTCAAACCCATCCATACTCCTCCCGGAGTGTCTCTCTCGCCTTCGTCCCTGCTCCTCTGCTCCTCTTCCCGCGCTTGCTCGCCTTGCTCTCCTTGCTCACTGCACTCCTCATATCACTCAGATCCTCACATCTCTTGGTGGCGCTAGTGATCTTCTCTGTCTCGGCGAGTGACTGCAAAAACGACATTGCCTTCTCCGCCTCCTCGCCCCCCTCAATGAGGCTTGCGACCAGCGACTCCACCTTTTCCAAGTAGTCGTTGTACTCGACTAAGGTCGCGAAGTCACCCTCGCGCCTAGCGCAAAGTAGTAATTTCGTAGTACAACAATATCAACTACTATTCAAGTAATAGCAGCAGCAATGCACCTAACACGATGAAGTGATAATGAAGTAGAATTCTTAAAATACAAGCCTCTCTAATGAAGAGAAATGAGTGCTGAGATTAATAATATTGAGGGGCCTCGCCTGTAGTAGACTTGGCGAACGTACCGCCTTGCGGCGCGATCGCGCTCGAGCTCGCACTGCGCCTCAAGGTGTTCTGCCTGCCAGCGCCGCCTGTCAGCCGCCAGGCGGTCGCCAAGCGCCTCCCAGGCTTCACGTCCCAAGCTTGTCGCTGCGGTGCCCTGCCTTATCCTACCACATGCATTAGTTAGCACTTAGTTGTGATAGGCTCATGCCTAAGGTAGAATGGAAGCTCAAGCTTCGGACATCGATGCGTGCTGCCTCAGCATCGTCTCGCTGCCCAGCGTGGAGACAAAGGGAGTGGGCCGCCTCCCACCAGCAGGCCCCCTCCCCCGCTCTCTGCCCCCCTCCCCCGCCAACTGCATGATCTCCTCCTTGACCTTGCAGGAGGATGGCTCAAGCTCGACCTTGCACTCTGTGCTGAGCGTTCGCTCCACGCGAGCGTCATGGAGGGCCTACCATGAGCTCATGAGTGTGTGTGTGTGTGTGGTTTCATCCATTGTGATGCCGGCTCAAAGTGCCTATTAATGAATTAAAATTAATTAATCAAAATTAATTAATTGGAGGCCATGGCGTGCTTCCCGCACCCAGTGCTGGCTGCAGGGCGCATGCTCCAGCATGATCTGAATAGTTGATGCAATCATGAGTCCAGTGTCTATGAATTGTGATACCTGTAGGCCGCCCGATGGGAATGTGCCAGCTGCACACTCGCCCAGCTTGAGGTCCTCCTCAAACTCGACCAGATAAAGGAAGAGCGCGAGCGAGCGGCGCGCTCCACCCTTGCCCGACAGCAGCGCGTAGTGCTGCGCCATGCCGCCTGATGTCGACACCTATTCACAGCAGGCTCAAACTCTGAGGAGAATATCAGCTGCGAGACATGGCCTCAAACGGTGGCTGTGTGGCCGTGACGAGCTGCTGCTTTCTGTCTCCTGCTGAGGGCACTCGCAGCTCCTCGCCGCCGACGCAAAAGTGCAGTGACTCACCCGCGAGACTGCTGGGCTGTAGCTCGAGCACGACCGTGAGGCGCTCCCGGAATTTGTGGTGCGCATCCATGTGGGGGTAGATGAAGCTCAGCTGGCCATCGGGGTAGAGGATGGCCTGCATCAAATAAGAAACAATTGTTTTTACCTGCAGCCAGGCAGCATTCACAGCGAGCGTGGTCACCTAGCAAAACATTGATTGAGAATTAGTGTGGGACGTACTTGGGCCGCCACGGGGGCAGCTTGGCGTGCGTTTGCGGCGAAGAGCTTCAAGCCCAGCTTGCTGAAGACGGGCTCAAGGATCTCCCACAGCTCCCTGTGCTCTGCTGAGCCCTCCTCAATGATCTTGGAGTGCTTGTCACCAAAGGTTTTCGGAGAGTTGAGGCTGACAACCTGGGTGGGTTAATCAGATCTGACGAGTAGTGTAGGTAGATGCAGCCCAGGCCAGTGCACATGGGGCCTGCAGGAGAGGCCCAGGAAGGGTCCGTTAGAGGCCGAGGCTTGACTTTAGTACTAGAGTGTGTGTGCATGTGCTGTGCCGACTCATTAACTACCTTTTCGTGCCAGCCGAGAAGTGCCCTCCTCTGCTTGTCGTCGAGGTGCAGCTGTGAGCTCGTGTCGGTGGCGTCGATGACCATCGTGCTGCTGGTGCCGCCATCGGCTGCAACGACAGCCTTGTTGGCCAGCAACTTGCACAGCTGGTCTGAAGCCTATTCACAGCCGGCATGAGTGGAGATGAGGATATTCACAGCTGGTGGTAGGAGCACGACGGGCGAGCCTTGGTGTCCTTGCACAGGATCTGGACGGCGCTGTCCTTGCACCAGTCGCCAGCAGGCATCAGGCATGCCCCCC